CGGGTGTGTATGTAAAATCAGTTCTGGAAGCGGAGGGTCGTGATAGTTGCACAACAGTGTAAATGTACTTGGTACACTGGGCTGTACACTTGAAAATGGTTAAAATGGTAAACTTTATGTTATGTATATTTTACCACAATAAAAAAAAACGTGGATGGTAGCACTGAATCTTTCAGAATGCAGAGAGCAGGAGCAGCTGGCACTTGGCATTGTCCCCAGTACTCTGATTTGACTCTCTTTTCCTGCCTGTTCCAGGTTGTGATTTGGTGAATTTTCCCGTTGGCAGAGAAGGGCCTGTGTGACTTGCATGAGTCTTGTGTGAGACCCCACCAGTTCTTTATCACTTAAAGAACAATTCCTGATGGGGCACCACATTGGCCTCCCCAGGGAGGCGGGAGGAAGGTGCTGTAAATCAGTGTGCATATCACAAAAGCTCCCCTAAGTTTTTCTTTGAACGCAGGAGGTATTTATAAAGTCCTCTTGCATCTTTAAGGTTTAATGACTTTGGATATACACTTGATAGAAGCAAGCTTGTTAAAATTGTTGTTTGCTAATCAGAATCACATTCTTTGGGGAAACTTAGGGCAGGGAGCACGAATGCAATTTAGGAAATCACTCAGCAGCAACTGGAGAATGTTCTCAACGAGTTAGAAAATTGGATTGAACAATATGCTACGAAAGATGGCGGTTGTGTTGAAGCTTAGAAATGTGAAGTGTTTTGTATTAAAAGTGAATGAATTACACTTCTCATTGCCATTAACAGTTTTACTTCAGTCATGAATATATATCCAAGGTTATTAAGGTTTGTGAGTTTTACAACTGTATGTTGTAAACATTAAGTGGATTCTATCATATGTAGGAGGTGAGGGGCCCTTAGATTAACTGATGCCAATCCGATTTGTTGCAAGCTGTGGATTTTGTTATATATTAGAAAGCCCCAGATTCTCAGACCTGCTGTCTGCATAATTAGTCCTTCCAGTCTCTCCTCATCAGGTCTCCCACTGTTGCCTACCTACTTGTCTTAGCCCATTTGGTCCACTGTGACAAAATTCCATAAATTTGATGGCTTATAAACAACAGAAATTTATTTCTCACGATACTGGAGGCTGGAAAATCCAAGACCAAGGTACCAGCAGTTTGGTGTCTAGTGAGGGCTCACTCTCTGGTTAGTTCATAGACAACTGTCTTCTTGCTGCGTCCTCACATGGTGGAAGGGGCGAGGCAGCTCTCTTGGGCCTCCTTTATAGGGGCACTGATCCCACTCATGAGGACAGATTCCCATGAAAAGGGTGTACCTCCTAATACCATCTCGTTGGTTTCAACATTAATTTGGGAGGGCCACAAACATTCAGACCACAGCACTAGTTCACCTCCTCCCCTATAGTCCTTCGCAGACTCCCCCACTTTTGGATAGAGTTCCAAGTCCTTGAGTGGTGAGCAGTTCTTTGCCATCTGCCCCCATTCACCTTTCCAAGTCTTCCGCACACAAACCTGGTGCTCCAGCCATGCCGACCTCTGTGGAGCGCCCTGAATGAGGTGTGCATGGCCTTTCACGTCTGCGTGTTCAAGGATCTTCAATCTGAGTTCTGGGGATGGTGTGCAAAGCAGAGCCCACCTGCTTACCTTTCCCTCCTGTGCCTCTAGGGGGCATCGTGCCCTTTCTGTCTGCCCGCTGCCCTCAGTGGGTTGTTCCTAGTCCCTTTTATGTGTCCTTCCCCTCCTCTTCTGACACTAGGCTGTGAAATGCGTGAAGGCACGTGGCTTATATGTCACCTCCTTGCAGAGGCTTTCCTGACCACTCCCTCTAAAATTGCATCCCTCACCTTGCTTTTTCTACATAGCTCACATCACGGCCCGAGAGTGTGTTGTCTGTATTTGTGCAGTGTGTCTCCTCTACACCACGCAGCATGTTGTCTGTTGGCTCGACCAGTGGCTGTATCTTCAGCACATAGAGTAGTGCCTGGCACTTTGCAGCTGCTCAAACGAACGTGTTGACTGAATGAGTGAAGGTGGTGACTCTGTCCTCCTTATCTGTGTCACCTTTACCACTGTATATTTCAGCTCTTACTATATCCTAGTATATATAGGATGGGAGTTAAATAATGTTATGGAATCAATCTTTTTTTTTTTTTTGAGACGGAGTCTCACTCTTTTGCCCGGGCTAGAGTGAGTGCCGTGGCGTCAGCCTAGCTCACAGCAACCTCAAACTCCTGGGCT